CAAGGGCGCTAGAACTGAAATTATGACTTATAAGATCCAAAAATTGCTTAATTTATCCAACATAAGATAGTCGATAATAAATTGTAAAGTTTTACTTATCTGAAATATACACTGAAATGTCCTCTTAGACACTAAAAAGCACTTGATTTTACGAAATTCATCCAAATGATCGTTACTCAAGCGGTTGTTGCTGAATTTATTACCGCTGTCCTTGTTGTACCAGCCACTGCTGTCTCGCCAGGAACGTTATAAATTAACCGGATTAAAATCACTTTGCCCTGGCCGAACACCAATAGAGACAGGGGCAGGCAATAACTAGCGGCCCCTTTGACCACTCGTCTGACTCACTAATCGGATTAAGTTGACAGGACCTAGGGACACTGATGACAGATTAATCTTGGCCGAGCGAGTCTTCGTAGGCCCGAAATAATAAAAATACGCTACCGTCGCGATGTTTTATAACTCGTCGGGTTTCGAATCGAAAGCAAGGTCGAAAGTCATCTAAAAGTTGAGCGAAGCGCTCGTCAATAATTTTTGTTACATATTAAACTAAAATGTGAGTGTGTTGAATTCGTGTTTAAAARCGTTGAATTGAGAAATAGAAACAGTACATTTTAAAGCTTGTTAAGCAGCATTATATTCAAAGTGTCAGTCGCATAAACTTGTTTGTTAACGGTGCTTTACGACTAAMATTTAGCTTTCATTTCGGTTTCTTCCAAATGGAGTTGAACTTAGATTTCGGCCAGGCACTTTGTCCATTTAAATGGCGATAGTTTGACCATCCTCAAGACGAGAGCGTTTTAGTTCAAATCCCGAACTCTGACGAGGTCACATTCGGGCCAACGAAGACTCGCTCGGCCAGGACTAATCTGTCATCAGTGTCCCTAGGTCCTGTCAACTTAATCCGATTAGTGAGTCAGACGAGTGGTCAAAGGGGCCGCTAGTTATTGCCTGCCCCTGTCTCTTTTGGTGTTCGGCCAGGGCAAAGTGATTTTAATCCGGTTAATTTATAACGTTCCTGGTGAGACAGCAGTGGCTGGTACAACAARGACAGCGGTAATAAATTCAGCAACAACCGCTTGAGTAACGATCATTTGGATGAATTTCGTAAAATCAAGTGCTTTTTAGTGTCTAAGAGGACATTTCAGTGTATATTTCAGATAAGTAAAACTTTACAATTTATTATCGACTATCTTATGTTGGATAAATTAAGCAATTTTTGGATCTTATAAGTCATAATTTAGTTCTAGCGCCCTTGCTTTAAGTAAGTTTTTTGTTCCTAAAATAACCCATAATGATCATTATCTCGTGGAAATAGATGATTGTCAATAAATAAGGTGTTAGGTTTTTCAATGTTTAGTTCCTACCAGCCCCAAATTTTAGAATTTTATATTTCCACTACAATTAATAAATGTGTTAAAGACGATTTATCATTTAATCGCTGTTTATTGCCATTCACACGTCGTGCGCTCTACAACTATGTTTATATTGAGCGATTTTTTTATGATTCGTTGAGTTCATTTCATAGTCCGGGTAATTCAGAGTCCAGTTTTTCATATGGCGATAGGAACAACTGAAATAAAACAAAATGAAACGATTACAACTCTTCTGATAATCAATAAATCAATCATCAGACGATTAGGGCTGGTGCCCATATCGTCTGAATCGCCTAAAATGCGATTCTGTCTTGCGATTTGTTCAAGGTGCGATTTGGGAAAATAGATGGACATTAGGCATTCAGGCGAATTGCCAAAAACAATCCAAAATAAACTAACAACTAAACAAATAAAAAATAATTAAATCAGAAGAAACCGTGAAAACATAATCCGTCAAATAACATAATCAAAAACTGCTGTTAATACGAGTTTACTGTAGCCAATAATCGCGCTCGTTAGAATTCAAAACTAAACAACCAATAATAGCGAAGTTCCCGGTACACGGAACGCGATCTTCGTCGCTGATTCGCACGCAGACGAACATGACAACAGGTTTGGTTGGCAGACTAGAAAGACATTGCTGAAGACAGTCAACAAGGAACTGCGCAATAGTATATATATGTTATTATCAGGAGGGAGTGTTGAAAATACAGAAGGGGGTGGTCAAAATGCAAAATCTAATTTTATGTGCTTGAAGAGGGAGGGCAACGTCTACAATTTACTAGAACTTTAATTGAAAACTGAAAAATGAACGGTGTCAGATACTTATTGAAGTGCCACGATTTGTGACAACTCTTTATTCAAGAATAATAAATAGCTTAATTTACGGTGGGGGGGGGGGGGGGAATAATGCCGATTGATTGTGGAAGAGACTTACGTTTTCAGCAGTTTCCACACATGAATCGACAGAACTTTAATGCGAACTTTCCCATTCTTGAATCACTTCTGGCACAGCTTTCTTGTGTGACGAGCTATGATTAAACAAAGCAAGATATCGTGAAGATAAACTTGAACAAATTGCGCACGGTTCGGAGTTGTTTGTCCTCTTGTTGAGACACTCTTGACGTCATAAAATGTTCAAAATATTAAATTGTTACATATAGCGTGCTATATGAGCTTTCCATGTTATGTAAAAAAAATTGGCGTACTTTTTGAACATGTAACATACACTACAATAAGGGGAAGAGCTAACTGCACTGGCACAAGACAACTTACACCGCCACAGATGTTACTCTTGAACTTATTTATGCATCTCTTGGCATCTAAAAAGAAACGACAGCACACCTATTTTAGACATTGAAAAATAATTGTCTTATTTACACGCGTTTCCTCATGAAGGGATTCAGTTCTGTTGCATAAAAATAACGGGAAAGTATTATAAAAATTGACTTCGTTAGATTGTTCTTGGTAATCATATCATAAATTCCGGCATTTTATTTGTATATTCCACTTCCTCGATGAAAAAAAGTATAAACCAATTACACCATATTAACAAAATGTTATAATAACCATATAGTCTTACGGAATCGTGGTGAGTCTTGTGCGATTTCTCTCACTGAAAATAAACACAACTATTCAGTCGTAAAAAAAATAGATTTATAGAAATAACCAAAGAAAAATATCAAGACATTAAAGCGAGTGAATGCAGAAGTGGATGGAAAGGAGAAGTAAATGAAAAGAAGAATAAATAAAATAGAAATGAGGCGAGAAGTATAGTGTCAGGGCGAGTCTGGAATAAGGGAATAAATGCTACTGATGACTGGCTGGTTTTATTCTTGTTTAATTAATGCTCGAGCTATTGATGAATTAAGYCACAATAGTGATGAATTAACTTGAGCAATAGTGAAATGGAGGGAAAGATGAAAATTAACGAAAAAAAAACCGAAAGAAATAATTATAACAACCATGGAGAATACGTATTTGTAACGGTGAAAAAGTGCAGTGATGGCTTTGACCATTATTTTATTTATAATGCACTCTTGACTTTGAACGTTTATCTCTCGTCCTCTTAATGTTTAGGGTACCTATAGCTTTATATCCTTACCAAGCTCGTACAGCTCCTCATGCTCGGCACATACCACAGCAACGCCAATAGCGACAACAAGAAGAGCGATGAAATATTTCATGATGAAAAACTTGGATTAAAGAATGCACTGCGTTATACTATAACTCGAGTTACAGATTTGATTGTACTTGGGTATGTAACACCAAACGTTTTTATACTTTAAATATCAAGGGCGTTGGCTCCAGGTGAACACATCTTGCTTTTATCAATGAGCATGGTTTACCAGTTGATAGCGATTTTAGCAACCTCACATGAAGAGGGTATTATAAAGCTAATAAAGCTTAGGACATAAATTTAGTTAAGATATATTAGCGGTATATCTTGGCGTAGGCACTGTTATGAACTGTGGTTTGAAGTTGTTTTTATGCGTGAAAACGTTTTTACAGGATTATCTAATTTGTCATCATACAAAGATGCAATAAGAGAACGGGGGGGGGGGCATGCATCGAAGCCTTCGATCTACAGTGTGATTATTAACGCAAACATTGTGTAGCTATTTTACAAATGTTGTCGGAGAGAAGGGCGAAAGCACGAACGCCAAGGAACTATGGGTAATTGTTACTGATTGCAATAATCAACTGTCAATACTTCGTTCCCATTAAAAGAACGTCCTCGATGATGGCTTGTTTGGTTTCGCCGTGTTTTAAGCACATCATTGAATATCATGCATTACAAATTGAATAGCAAGAACAATTTTCGGTCCTGCAATTGACGTTCCGTTTTTAAAAAAAAAAATTTCAAATAGCTGTCTATGTATGAGTTTTGATAGAAACTGCTTGCATGCATGCAATGTATAGTTTAGTGTCAAGGAGTGTTATTTTTGTTCAATAATGGATATGATTCTTACTTAATTCATTAACGCGTCGATAAAATGCATTATTGTTATTATTACACACGGCTCTTGAGGTGGACTTGCAAGATATGCAGCGATAGCTCACAATGTCACCCTTTTAACACCAACATTAAACTGACGTACACTACCTGACAGTGCTTGCACCTTTTTGAAAACTGTATGCCATCACAATAAGATATATATGTTTCTTACCGGCTGGGGGGTCTGTATAGGAAAACACTGCCCGATGTCTTGACAGTACGGAACGAGCGCAGCGAGGTCCGTTCATAAAAGATCGAGGTCAGTGTTTTTCTATACGGACCGACCTATAGCCGGTAAATAACATTTTTTATTTTTTTTTTAATTTATATTTTATGCAACTTTGCTCGCGGCCTAGCTGCAGGATACCGTCGGACCGGGCAGATCGTGAAATGCCGTACCGCGCGCTAGCCAACCACAGCGCGCGAATGACTAGGGATGCTTTCCATTTAGGCAGAACTGGCCGGCCAGTCCACTCTATTTAGAGGTATGTAATGCTTTTTGTCAGCATTTGTCAGTCATTTCGAGGTTTTCTGTAGAATAATGGATAAAATTTGAAAATTTGAATTTCCTAACTAAATGAGAATGATATATAATGACATTTTCTCTGGGTCTGGCCAGCCAGTTCTGACAAATGGAAAGCGCACTAGGATAATGGACCGAAAAAAAAACATTGGATACTGGATTAGTACATTAGTTCTTACTATTGCAGCCAAAGGCTGATTATAAAGTTGATTATTATTACAAAATGATGCAGCAATTACAAGTCATTCATTTTCAAATAAGGATAAAATCATTCTCGCGGTTTTATAAGCTGGTTAATTTTTGTGCATGGTGGCACTGAAAACCTGTTCGAAATACATGAAGACTATTATCGAAATTTAAGGAATCAGCCCCCACCCCCTGGAAACTCACCCTCCCGCTCCCCCCGGATTCAGATAGTTTGTCGATCTCGCATGACGTGCTCTAAGTTTAATGTGGTTTTAATATGACATACAAATCGACGAATATGCGGTTTGATGAGACGTAAACACTTACATAGTAAGCCACAATCGCATTCTCCTAACATACAAAGTTTTTTTTTCTTATATTTTTATAGCATACAAACTTGTATGATGGTCTACTGTTTGCCGTCAATCAAATGAAAAAATATGGCAGGAATTCAGTTCAAAATACAATATATTTTTCACTTTTTTTTGTGGTAAGAGATTACTGAGATTGGTAGTGGAAATTTTCCTGCGGTTCTTAATGATTTGTCTTACTTTCGTCAAATTAGCCATATATATATATTCTTAAAACTTAATTCCAAGTTTCGGCTATCCAAATATGTCTTTTAGTCCGGTTAGGTATTTTCATTTGATCTTTTTTCTAATTCAAAGGCTATGGATATTTTTTTCTTGCGAGAACTAGCACTTAATAGTCGAGAATTCGAGCAACTGCAAACACAACCAAGCGAAATGAGCACATTTGCATATTTTGCGAGAAATGAAAAAATCCCTCTCTTGTATTGACAACGAATGCAAGCTTTTGACAAGAGCACAGATTAGCGCTAATTAAAGTTATGAATCACAAGAGAAACTTTTTAAAACGGATTATAATGACCACAATACAACACGGTCATGTATAGCAAAAGCTATAAGCTACCAATTTACAATTTTATAGCTCTAGTTTGAACATGTCGGTTTCAATTTTTTTCAAGACACAGTGAAAATATATTGTAAATAAATTTTGCTTAGTTATTCTTTTAGTAATTATTGAAATTTGATTTTAGCATTTATAATGTTTTTTCTCCTAAGGCACGCGGCAACTTCATCACAACACGTAATTCTTTAAATGTCAAGATCTTCTTTGAATGCCTGACATACCCACTATGTACTGTACAAATCTCTAAAAAAGTTAACTGAGCGATTATAAATGGGAATCTATTAGAGTACTCTCTTCTTAATTAGATAATCCCATTTGACAAATATTGCTTTGAACTTTCAGAGTAAACCCAGAATATGATCAAATTCGTATCAAAATATTATTACTATTATTATTTGACGCATTTGAGATGAAAACGTGCCGATATCCTTACCCCTTCTATTCTATACAATCAGGGTCAAGTTTAGCTTTAGATATGCGGGAGACAGTTAACCCTGCGGTTTGAGTATTAAGACGACAAAATGCAGTGGTATACGATGTTAGATTGCGGCATGGTTCAATTAAGGTATTCTAAACCTTTTTAGTGGTAAGCCAGACTACGTTACTCTAAAAAAAAAACACTGAAGAATGCAGTTATCATGTATTSATTGATTCTAATGTCTTCATATACTTTATCGAGCTGAGATTCCACTTTTTCTAGTTTTCAAAAGGTTAAAAAAGTTGCAAAAGCCTAAATTAAAATGGTTCAATTCTCAGCTCAGAACATTCTCCATTCTTCGTCATTAGAATAGACAATTGCATACACTTAATTATTCAATTAAGTTGCGAAACCATTAGTTAATATAAGTCTGATGCATTTTATTTTATTTATAATTGAGTAAAAAATTGCATTGTGTATACATAGCAGAAAAATGATACCACATTCAAAAATCAGGAAGGAGGTAAAATTGCATTTTCTGTAGATTCTTCGAGGGTTTTAACACCTTAACAACCACACCGTGTTACAAGCACTTGTGCATTATTCTCGAATGGGTGATTTTTTTGTTTATAGCACTGCTCTTTGTTAAACAAGTCGTTGTTTAGGACATAACAATCAAAACATTACAGAATCGTTTAGTCCCTAGAGACTAAAGGAACGTAAAATCAACTGTGTGCTCTCGTATCGCTGTTTATATCAATCACTAAAAAGAAGTCAATACGAGAAATTCTGATTCTAATGGCGTTCATCACTGTGAGGTTTGGCGGTAGGTGAAAATTGAATTTGTTTTCTTGAATAGTAAGCTCTTTGTTCATTCTTTGCTTAAGCGATTAAATATTGGTCTTCTAGACGACGAAGAAGAGCTCTTCAATCCAAACTGCGTGACCCGTAACTTGATGGATAGTATTAGACGTCGTTGTCGATGTCAGAAAGGAGGTATATGCACTATGTTATCGTTTGAATTTGTGATGTTCAACGTGATTAATGTTAGTAATGTTTGTTCTTACTTCTGTTGTGCATAACAAACATTGCAGTGCCTTCTCATCCATGAACTTCCTATTGACAAGCGATCTTTTTGTAGTAGATTTTTGTCAACTTTGCGAAATGAAGCAAATGTTTTTGAGGATTAAAAGTTACAAGCATACGACCATTGTGTGTTCATTTGATTTTGATATTGCTTTAATGATGTTATTATCAACAATCTAATTGATACTATGCTTTTTCGTGATTTTAGCCACTTTGGATCTGTCAGACGAAGATGGAGAATTAAAAAATCTACCAGAAAATGCCAATCAATACGCACACAAGATACTCAATAAAGGAAGACAGAAATTTGTTCTAATTAAGATCGATAGTAAGGGCCAATGTTTGCTTTATTCAGTCCGCAGACTAAGCGGCGTTACGTCGTCATCGCCATGTTGGAAATGACATAGTATTCCTCTAAGTCTTGTTCATTCATCAAATGGCGACGATTCTTCTTTTCTTTCTTTTTCTTATTTTATTTATGATTTATTTATTTATTTTTGAGAGGGACCGTGTCAGTACTATCCTTCCCCATTCAATACTTTTTATTAAAACAATCACAGCAATCATACATTTTTTTTTCGTATACAGAAGGCCAAGGAGACACTCCAGCAACTTATACATCGATGTTAAATGACTTGGAGACAATCAATCCAAAACTATTGAGTAAGTATGGATACTCCAGAATCAATTTGTCATAAAACGGCTACAATAACCTACAATCTTATGCAAAATAAACAGAACATCTTTCTTTCCCCACTTCAAGTTTGGACACTGGAAGATTTTAGCTAAAAATAACACTTGCAAACAGAGAGGGGAGGTTGTAGTAACAGACTCATAGACGGTGATTCACGTTATTTTGCAAAAGATTTTAGACCATCGACAAGGATTCAGTGAAAATATACAGTGAAATTTTAGTAAAAAATACTAGGATTTTCATTTTTTTATAGTTACAATTATATGGCCACATAAACGTTTTTCTACAGTGCCAGGGCGTATTTCTGCATATTTCTTTCACGAATTGCAAAGCTGTGAAATCACGTCTTCTGACTTTGAAACATTACTAAATATACCCATTATTTCAAATAGGTTTTCGGATAAAATGGCGAATGCACGACCGAAAGGAGCCATGGGTTTTACTTTTTTATTTAGTCTCCATTTCTAAGGTGAATCCAATAAGTGAAATTTTGTTTTTCAAAACAGTACAACCATAGTCCCTTTCGKTCGTGCATTCTCCCTTCGACAATCGCCGTTCGCCGTTCTCCCCGACAACGTCTTTTTGAAATAGGTGTATATCATGATATCGTTACTGAATATATATATATATCCCTGAACATCATTAGATGTCCGTCAAAAATACAGCAAGTAAGAGTTACATACCGAGAACGGAGGCAATCAGCCTAATACATCCCGAGGGCCGTAGGCCCGAGGGATGTATAGGTTGATTGCCGACGTTCGAGGTATGTAACTGGCTTATTTCATACTTGAAGAAGTTTTCCAAGCACTGCATTAATATTTTCATTTTTAAATAGGCAAAGAAGCCGTTTTCATATGAATTAAAAACCAAACCCTCGWTKAGAAAGATTACGAAATTTACAGTATTGAAAATTCCCAACGGGAATAATTTGCATAACCAATTTTCTCGTTAGTCCCATGAGACCAATGCTAACTATACACCTTTTGTAACAAGTCACTGGACAATGTTAAATAACTGTTTTATTCCATAACTGACATCGATTAGTCAGTTAGCATAACGTGTTAAGTATAGGAGTTTCAAAGCTAAGGTTGTGGGTTCGAATCTACTTGGTGTCATTTGAATTTTTCTTTCTTTCTTTCAAGTTTAAAGTTTCAGACGGAAAATTTCTAAGTTGAACGTAGTAGTTAATTAGGTATTCAAGGGCAATAACATTAGTATTCAAGGGCAATATATAGATATTGCCCTGAAACTTCGTTATAAAGCACTTGAATACACAACGAGCTGGGGAATAAGCGAGATACAACACTATGAATAACAAAGAAAACTGAATCAAGTATGAAATAAGGAGCAATACTTGTGTCATGTATAAAATGTTGATTTTTATAACAATAGAAGCAACTAAGATAAAAATAATTAAACCCTAATTAACACTCATTTCCTTGAATCTGCGCATGCTTCAAGGGTGTTGTAATTTGATAAATGCTCTTCATGTTCCAGGCCGACTTGAATCTTTGTCCAAGACAAGCATGGATGGAAAACAAAAATCCGACGGTAGAAAAGAATCCATGTGGTCAACGGCGAATCGAATAAGAAAGAGTCGTGGTCAAGGAGGAAGTGCTGGTCGGTCAAGAAGCGAGTCTGGTGGAACCGCCAGCTCCCCACAGTCCAAGAATAAAACGGCAAGAAAACCCAGTAKTAACAAATAATACACATGTACATGATAAATGGGATACGGTACATCCAAGTAGATGGAATGGATATAAAATGGCCCTTTTTTCTCAGAGGACAAAAGTCGCTTTGTCAGACTCTTCGGTTGTGAGATAAATTGAATTAATCTAATCAAAGATTTTAGCGGACTCTGATCAGGAGGGTCTGGATGAGGAGGTCACAATATCAAATTGTTCTTTGAAATAATGACTTGGTGCCAATTTTCAAGTTAAAATTGATATAACTATTTTATTAAATTAAACTATTCACCTTCATTAGACTCTCTCAGAATTAATGTTTATTTACTAACACGAAAAAATATCATCAGTCAGCCAAAATAAATGTTTGGAAATTGAGCCACTTCTTTACTAGATTCGCACACAGCAAATAACTTTAGTTAGCTAATGATCACACTGGCGGATCCAGGGGGGTTCCATGGGTTCCTAGGAACCCCCCTCAAGTATAATAAAATACAAGTACAACTAAAAGTACAACTAAAAAGCAAATTGGTTGAAATATAAAGCAAATCAATAAAAAAAAGGAAAAACCAAAACAATAAAACTAAAAAGCAAATCAGTCAAAAGCAAAAGCAAATCGGTCAAAAGTGAAAACAAAAACAATTAAAACAAAAAGCATCGTGGCCCTCCTGGGCTTCCGTACAGTATGGGGTTAGTTTTCAAACCTTAGTAGTTGAAACGAAACGCAGGCAAGATGAAGTGGTTGTAATGCCAGAATGAGCAACAAAGAACTAGGTAAAAAATGCATCATGGCGGAGAGTGAAAGGTAAATGGAAACTAACTTCTGGCAGCTCATGACAGAGCAACCAGAGTTTTTTTATTTTTGATTGACAGGTCGGATTAATTTAAAGCATCACGTCTATTGGTCCAACGTTTAATGGTTGTACGGATTAGAGATTATATCTCTCGAGCTCAGTTTCACCTCTAAGCGTCAATCTTGGGAACCATTCGCTTTTTCTTATGAGTTCGCACCGGAGACCGGTTAGCTCAGTAGGTAGAGCATCGGACTTTAGTGCGGGAGGTCGCAGGTTCAAACCCCGGCCGGACCAACACTCAGGGTCTTAAAATAATTGAGGAGAAGTTGCTGCCTTTGTCTTTCTCCATCTGCAAATGGTAAGATCTTCTCGTCCTCTCGGATAACGACGTAAAATCGGAGGTCCCGTCTCTCTACACTTCACTCACTAACCTGTATTAGAGGGACGTTAAAGAACCCACACCACTGTTCGCATAAGAGTAGGGAATGATTCCCGGTGTGTGTGGCTAGGCCTTACTACTAACCCATACTAATTACTAACCCCTCATGATTGTAAGCCGCGTGGCTGCCAATTGCGCCTTAAACAGCGGTCCRTGYRWAATVMTCTATACATGTGAAGCGCCTTTGAACTCAGAGGATATCGGCGCTATATAAATACCACATATTATCATATTATTATTATCATGGACTTTCCTTCCGTACTGATGGGGAAAATCTCATATACATCACCGTGTAAGCACAGTTTTCTAGTCTCAAGATAAATAAATAGATATATAGATATATTAACATCTATATGTTTATCAGAGGTTCGATTTTTTCATTCTTCGATTGTTGCTTGTTGGCGCGAAGCGCCGTATATTGAGCCTATAATGGCGAGCGAAAATCAAACCTCTGATAGGAGTCGGCTAGAATCTCACTTCCATGCTAATACTAATCCAATTAACAAATAACCAATCAAACAACCCTCAGCAAAAAACAACACTTGAAGAGTGTTGTGTGCTAAAATACTTAATGTAGAGGTAGTGAGTATGAGAGTACAGTGTGCCCCAATTAGCGCAAGAAGCGCCGGAACGTAATGGACACTTAAAAAATAGTTATATTTCGTACTTAGGTAGAGGAGGCTGCAACGCACATAACTACCGCACGGCATGTGCTTTCAATACAGGGAATCTCACTGAAAATACTCCGGCAAACAAAAGTACTCGGCGCACACCTTCTTCGATAATATGTCGGCATCTGACGCTGAGAGCTTCATCGACTAATCCGGTCTTTTCTTAAAGCTCGCCTTTATGGACTCGATAAACGGCACTAAACGCCAACGAACACAAGTACGGACGAGCGAAAATTAAAATTAAACTTTTGGGAATACGGTAACAATGTTACTGACTCTAGCACATAACAAAATTTGTAACTTTGAAGGCGTCTCGCGGTTGTGGAAGCAGCGGTTCGTGGATGAATAATAAATGCGTTCTAATAAAATATTAAGTAGTTTCCTATAGTATTTTATTGCTGTTTATAATTATTGATCAGATTYAAACATTACAAATCTCATCTAATTTTATCATTGGAGCAGACAGTTTTCCATGGAAAGCTGAAAAAGAAGCAAAAATAAACGTTCCTTTGAGTTATGGACTTCGCAATATTTACCAGGAGGGGTGGATGGGGGAAGAGCGTAATTTATTGACATCTATTGTCTTACTGTCATTCATGTTTCTAAGCAATGATTCAAAGGTCGCTTCGTGCTTCTTCGGACCTTCGTATGATCGACGATGTCGAATCTAGGTCATCTAGCTTCTACAAATACGCTAGATTCTTTTACAAATCCACGCACCATTCGCGGCATATCCACACTAAAAAAATTCGAGCGTTTCTCAAAAGGGCATTTGGAGAGATACGGCGAATTTATATCGTGAATCTACCGATCGTGAATTATCTACTATCAACATTAACTCATCAAAAGCTAACTTATACTAGTACAGGCTCTACAATCACCAAGGACTTATCTAAGACATGTCAACAGATTTATACTGAGGAAAAACAGGATGCGACTCTTTAAAGCATATGGTAACGGCTCGTCGAACATAAATTACTTGTTTCACAATAATATTAAATTCTACTACGTCCATTGCTTGTTTGATTATTTTTCATTAAAGGAAATCTTTTTTTGCTGTTGTCTTAGTAATATTAATTTCATTAGGGTTCAATGTCCTTTACTGATTGGGATAAACCACAGGAAGCCCATGTAAACGATCGCTGATCGTCTAGTTTCGTTTCTGACAGGGAGGTGAAATACGGKAAAACATTCAGTTTGTATTGCTTAATTATTTGATTTTTAGTGTCTGCTCTTATGTTACATACGTTGATGTGTTGCGTCTGCTGAGTCTGAGACTGAGTCTGCTTCACAGACAACTGGAGCACTGACATCGTTGCTGTGGCGTCTATTAAAATGATGAAACAACGGCCATGTACGAACAAGAATATTTTACTATAAACATCAAGTTCCTAGCGAAAAAATAAATACAAAGCTTCAACACAACTACTACAGGAATATTAATTTACAAACGAATATCAATACTTACAATACATTTAGGCCTACCTGGGGAACATCATATCCTCGAAAAATCGACACTGCACTCAGGCAGACACATAGACGCTCACTAACATAAATCTACTACAGGAACCAAAACACTAAACTATGAATAAATTACTACGTAAATTTTACAACAGAAATTCACTAGGGACACATAAAACAAAAACTGTAAATTACAAAACTACTAAGATATGACGAACAGAGAACAATACATAAAGTTCCGGACGGACGTAACAGTTGCTTCCTTGTTAACTCATTTATCAATCCCAAAGTGCATTGCGTGACAAGGCGGGTTGAAATGAGGGCTATTTGAATTGACCTTCAGTCGTCTAAGATCAAATACCTTCAATTAGCACAGGGCACACATAGGCGTGTACAGATATAGCGTGCAAACTTTCCAAGACGAGTATGAGCTGCATCGCAGTAGCTTATTTTAAGGAGCTGTGAAACACAATATAAATGAGATAAATGAGCTAATAAAAGCAAAATTGCTGCATGCGAGGTGGTGGAGCTAACTTTAGTGTGCTCTTGGTATGAGAATATAAAAAAATGTCAGTATAACTGGTATAACTCTTCGCGATTTGCACAATACTACCAAGAATTCTTTGTCCACTTTCTTTTGTAATGCAATTATATATTATGTAGACTGCGAAGTGTTGTAGGGACATCATCAGAGCTAGGCATTCCTTTTCGTTCTATTGTAGAGTAGTTCTTCTGTGATGTGTTGAACTTCTTTGAGTAGTAACTAACTGGATGCTCAATTCCAACATCATCTTCCTGTAATAGAACACTTCCGCACCCCGAATCGCTTGCGTCGACCATCAGCTTGAATGGTTTACTGAAGTTAGGTGCTGCTAGAACTGGAGGACTGATGAGCATAGCTTTGAGATTCTGGAAGGCGTTTTGGCATTCTCCACTCCAGAGAAATGGGGCATCTTTTTGCGTCAAAGCAGTCAGCAAAATAATATTTTTCTTCCAAAAGAAATCTGTGAAACTGTTGTAAACTTTTACCAGGTACTCCGTCACCAGCGCTGCCATGTGGGACCGCAAAAGCTTTTCGCGAAAAGAGATTCTCATGTTAGCACCAAACAAGGAACGATTTATTAAAGTTAGACAGAAAAACGTTTCTAATAATATTAATAAACGATCAAACAGCAAGATGGATTTTTTTAAAGCCGCTTTTACTTAGTCACAGTTGTCTGTGARTTTGTTATTTGAAGCTCTTTGAAATTTTCATGATACTTTAGGCCATGTAGGCGTCCAGTATACTCATGCAAGGAAACGCTCTTGTACAGGTTTCAAAGTCAAGGGAGCCCGCGCGCCTAATACACTACAATAATCGGACCTAAAAAACTATGCAAACCAGAAGGGGTTAGTCACGAATGGACCAGGATCCGACTAATCGCCTCCCTCGTGGCTGGGCGCAACGGTCATCCATTCGCCGCCCCAACTGTTACGGCTCGTAGTAAAGAAAACCACTACACAACTCCTTTCTTGATCATCAACACTACTTTATTAGTTTCTTGCCTAGCCTTAAGTACTTATTCAATGCTTACTCATGGGAACTTTAACATAACAGCTACTGCTTTCTTAGGTTGATTTTGTTTTTGTAGCAGTGGCGCGTGCAAAACATTCAGCCGTTTGCTGAAGAAAGGCGAATGCCCGAAAAACCAAGAAAACCAAGTTGTAAGTTGTGTGGCTTTTTCTTGAATTTATTCTATTTAAAAATTTTATAATTATGTATAATAAACGTTAAATACAACATGTCGTCAAAGACTTCTCGGGGTTGATAGTGACAACGCCACTCAACAGACACTGCACTTCATTTTTGATTAACAGAGATTTAAGAGATTTAAAACTCAGCGAACAATTTGAAAAAAGCCGGACTGAGTTTTCTATAAGACCTCTAGTATATTTTCAGTCCCGAAGATTTTTAGATCAACATGGAAAATGTCGAAGATTGTGTTTGATACAACAAATGAATTTCATTCCTACCTTGATCAACAGCGACAAGTGCGCCAAATAAAACAGCTTAGTGCTTGCTTGCTTCACTCGCCAAAACGACTTGAAGAAACTAACTTCTGGATTGGAGAGGAGTGACTTTTGGGTTAAAGGGACACTGTCAATGGCACGCATGCGCGAGTAAACTTGAAAACACTAGGCTAGTGTTTTCAAGTTTATGACTCCAAGTTGGCGCGACATAAATCAGCTCGTAAACGTAAACAGATCTAGAATATTCCAAAGTGTGTCAAAAGCACCACAAAATGATTTACCTCGAAGGTAATTCTTTCAAAGTCCGTTAGAGGCGAGACTGTTACTGCGCATGTCATCCATTGACAGTGTCCCTTTAAGTTGATACGATGACGTCAATTGACATTTGGGCTATTTGTCTGTTGTGAGTTTTGTCATTATTTCATGAAATTGAAACTTTCCCATCATTTAGACTCTATAAGGAGGGTCTGGATGACGGTCTCACAACTCAGTTACTCTTTGAAATAATGATTTGATGTCAATTTTCAAGTTAAAATTGATAACTATTTAATTGGAATAAATCATTAGACTCTCAGGAGGATCTTGATGGGGTTAGGGTAGGCGAGTTGCAATGTCAGTTGTCAATTTGAATTTAGGTTATTTTTTGTCGAGTTGTACGTTAAAATGTTTATGCCCTATATTGTCAATAACAATTTCAATAGTCGAGTTTCGCAATCTCTTTTACGCTGTGTTAGCCTCAATTGTGTGCTAAAATATTCAGAAATGTAGATAAAACTCGTGAGATTTCAAACTATTTCCATTGTCTTCTATACTCACAGATCTCTTGCATTTTCACAGGCTGTTGTGAATAAAAGAATTTATTATATGGTTTTGAGGCTAACACAGCGTAAAAGAGATCGCTAAAAGGGTTTATTATAGATGTATCATGGAATCGGCCGGAGAGCCTTGCGTATTTTCATTGTTATTCAGATTTTTAATCCCCTTGGAGATTAATAAAACAATTGGCACTAATTGCATTACAAAAGAAAGTTGGCAAAGCATTCTGGTAGCTGTAGTAAATGACGCCATAATGCATATCGCCTATTCAAGTTTTCCTTCACTAAGGGTCATGTACAAGAGAACGACGTACAGCGACGCCATTTTATGCACCAAAGCATGATGGTAGTTTTAGTCCTTATACTAATCATAGACCCTAAAATATCTCCTTAAAAGCCTTTTTTACGCTTTCTTTGTCGCAACGTCAAAACACAACTATTTTGGCTTAGAAAAAGCGAAAATATTTCATTAGGACTGTTTTAGCGAACATGAAAACGTACGAGGACTACAACTACCATCAAAATGGCGACGGGAGGCTCACAAATTAATTTAGAATTACTGGGGAGGGTCACACATTTTTTGGGAAAAATGACTCTGAAAACTCCATTCTCCCCCCTCCCCCCCTCGATCTTTCATGTCTTATGTTACTACACAGTCCCTTTCTCCGATCGTAGGACAAATAAATCAAAATATTCTTAAGCAAATAACATTTTTATTAACAAACGTAATTAAAGTACATTAAAAAGTAAATTAGTTTCTATTTTTAATGGGCTGAGGTTACAAATTATTGGTTACCCAGGGAGAATAGAAAGTTTAAAACAATTTCAACGCAAATGAGAACTGGTAGCTGCACGAATATTTACATTGTACCAAGAGAGAACTTATCCACGAACACAATCATTAGCCCTACTTTAACAATCCCCGCGCGGCTAGTGCTTCAGTTGTTCAGCCAAACAGATCTTGAGTTTTCTTGTGAYGGACAAGCGAGAAATGTTTTGAGGAAGAGAAATGTGCGAAGAAATCCAAAATCAAACCTCTTGCGATCTGTCCAATCACTTGTTCCGTTCCACAAATAACTCCAGTAAAAGTTTAAAAATCGAATACGGGTCTCAAAGGCCTTTCTGAAATAACACAACGCATTGCATTGTGGTCTAGATTCTGTACAAAAATCGTGTTTCTGCGGCCAAATATTGTATTGTTTGTACTGAAGCTAGACCAAATTGCAACATGATTTCGTATTTCAAAAAAGATCTATGGATGTGCGGTTGAACTTGACCTTATATAAGACAGTATAGTGCGCAAGCCCCAATCTATTTATTTCCTGACACTCAGGAGCAAAAACAAAATAGCCTTCCTGTAGGTCGTCCCTTGTTTCACCTATAAAAACGGTAGTCATGCCTTTGCATCGAATCGAGATGACCGGGATGCTTACAATGATTAATAGATCCGATTCATTCATGCAAAGCAAAGATTCAAACGAAAGATTTAGTAAAATCCAACAGGAAATGTGAGGGAGACTTCAATGGAAACCACACTAATTCAGTCAACTTCACGAGAAATTAACATTCGAGACATCTTTGCATCACATATCAGAAAACATGCTAACAACATCGTAGATACCGCGAATCAACGAGTAAAAATTTGAAATGCGAGAAACCAATGCCCAATTGGCAAATATGGCTAAGACATATTTAAATGACACAGGTAGCCCATGTGCGTTCGTTGTCCAATGAGTCTAATGCAAAGGCAATCCTTAAACCAGCCTGTTTCCGATTCAAATTACACAGGTAACCCACATCAATGAAACTGTTGCCCTGAGTAACCTAGACCAATACCACTCTTACCGCCAGCACCACGTGACAGCTGGAATGCTCGCGATCGTTCGAATTCTTCTTCTAAATCTTTTAATAGCTTATCACCTTCAACGCCTTTGTTTTGGGTTTGTGTCACGGTGGCTTCTGATGATTCACCTTTTATTCCCATTAAACGACGAAATTTTGCTTCCATTTGACCTCCCTGATCGTTGGTGAAGTGCTGACCCGTACCCCATTGTCCTGGAGCCGTCTGGGTAATAAAACAATATTACAATGTTAGTGTTCGTAGAATTAACTCTATTGTAGAGATTAATGCAGTTGAATCTTTCGCAAGAGGACACCCTGGGAAAACGGAATAAGTGTAGAGCTGTCAGCCTATGAGAAAGTGTCAATGCGTATTTGTATTATAGAAGAAAAAAAGGCAGGGATTTAAGAAGGCTGTCCACGATCCTAGCTACCCGCAAAAAGAACGTCGGCAAGTGGAGATTCGAGTTTACGTTGTAACGAGATCCTTTGTAAAAGACCTCCTTATTTAGATCATTTAGAAGTAGAATCCATTCTTTAACTTTTTTTACCACAGATGCTGATGTATTTTCACAAGCACTTATAAAATGCACAAAAATCTAGTTCTCAGGGTCCCAAGGAGTCTGACATGGGATAATACCGAGGAACGACGTTATAAACAATCTTTGCAAAATTGTCTGAAACACCATCTATGATTTTGTTACTACAACCTCCCCTCCATTTTTGCAATGTTGTTCGTCAATGAATTGCGGCAAAATCGACAAGGATGAGGAATGGATCGTGTGTGCAACCTTGCAATGGGGAAAGAGGATAGGGTGTTCAGTTTATTTTTCATAAGACTGTAGTCACCAGCCAAGTCATCCTGCGCACATCCGGTTTTAAATACTGGATGAAACTCAGGCAACCGTCAAGTCAATACTAGTCTCCTTCACAACCTCCCTCTTTGTCGGGCTTCCTGTCACTCCCATGGGAAGGTGCGAAGGAGACAATACAAAACTTTACCAATAAATTTATAGTGTACCTCTGTCTTTTTGCTGCTCCACAAGAGTTTCTTCTTCTGTTGTTGCACGGCGTACTGTTGTGGATTAACTACTGAAGGGTTTAGGTATTGAGGCATGTTAATAGCCTCTGCCTGTACCTGAGCCTTCTGTCTCATYGCCTCAGCATGCATCGCTAGCTTGGCTTGGACTTCCTCTGAACTSGGCTGCTTGGTAGGACCAACAGGATCTAATAAGTCAACATAGTAATAATAATAATAATTTATTCAATTTATATAGCGTTATATAGTAAAATTCTATAACGCTTCACAGTACAAAAACTCATGATGAAAAATAAATATTAAAGATAAAAATATATAATATATAGTGCTGTTTTATATATTACTTGCATTGGTACAGATGCTTTTTTACAGTAACGAAGTTCAAAGCGCCGTTGTATTGAAAGCGCACTTATTATTCGCAGAGTACGCAGTGTATATAGAAATATAAGAAAGTTAAAGTGCTAGGAAGGAGTTTATTCCGGGAGAAAGACCCTTATTCTCCCGGAACAACCTCCTTCTTAGCACTATAACTTCCCTTTATTTCTATATCATGTATCTCACACTGCCATGCGGTCCTTACACTCATACACAGGGTATACACTCGATTGCTAAATAATAGCTGAGATTAATCATTACAAAATCCCATTTACCTTTAACGACAGGCGTTTTAACTCTATATGAAATACGGTCATCGTCAGGGGAATATCTTCTATCACGTGATCGCCTATCATCACGCGATCTATAGCGGCCACGCCCCCGATAACTGTCACGGCCGCGACGATATCTATCCCTGTCACGGTCTCTGTCACGGTCTCTGTCACGATCTCTGTCGCGGTCTCTGTCACGGTCCCTGTCACGATCCCTATCACGGTCTCGGTCTCTGTCACGATCCCTATCACGGTCTCTGTCTATGTCACGATCTCTGTCACGGTCCCTATCTCGATCTCGATCCCTGCCACGATCACGATTACGATCCCTGTCATGACCTTTGTCACGCCTGTCACGATCTCTGTCACGACGTCCACGGTCAGTTTCACGCACACGGTCACGCCCAAATTCATCACGGTATGTTTCTGTTGAGACAAATTTCAGTTAGCAATACGCCGATAGCAGATTTATTAATGCCAGTAACGGAAAACACACGGAAAGAAATCAATATTATACCCTTTCTAGGACTTCCTGATTTGCTTCTAGATCTTGATCTAGATCGACTTTTAGAACGGCTATGTGACCGGTCTCGGCGCTCCGATGATCTTCGACGCGAGGTTGAGCTTCTTCTAGGAGAAGTGGAGGAGTCCTTGGGTTTATCTTTTGCTTGCTCTGGCGATTGTTTTTGTTCTGTTGTATCTGGTGGAGAGCTAGGTCTGCTGGGAGAATATTGATCTGCTGGAGAGCGAGATCTTTGTTTTCGTTGAGTGGTACTGCTATCTGGTGACGCCCTTCGTATTGGGCTATTCTTTCTTTCCTATAAAATGATATTTAAATCTTTAAGAAAATGATTAGTAAGTGAACTCCTTCGATAATTATAACAAATATCAACCACACCTATTTTCTCCCTACCCTACCCCCTATCAGTAGTGGCGGATCTAGGGGGATTCAAGTTGTCAACGGAACCCTTTTGTATGCCTCACGAGCAAAGTTTTAGTGTCATCACTACATTACTATTAATTAGATAAGTAAAACCTTAGCATTAACCAATCAATAGACTCCTAGCTGTTCACTTTCAACTAACAACTAGGACATAACTGGGCGACAAAACAATGGATTCTATATCGCAAAAGGACAAAAATCTTGTTGTTTCCCCCAGACAAAGGAATCTTTTGACGAAACGTTACCCTATTTGAAAAACTATAGATAATCCGCCACTGAAAAGAATCTCAAAGCAGAACATCCAACTACTGAAGTCTCACATTGGTCTGGGTTACATTCACTCTCTACCCTCCCCTCCCCCTCACCAATAGAATTCTAATGATAAGTGCTCACCTTGCTCGAGCCTGGATCACGTTCATCATGACTGTTATCATGACGATCGTTGGGACTTGTTCTGAGCGGTGACTATGTTAATTGACGATTGAAAATAGATTTATGAATATTCTCTAGATATATAGAATACGTCTATAGTATAATCATGATATATATAGTTCTGCATTGTTTTTTTTTCGCAATCGCACGTAAGCGCGCATCTGATGATTTAGGGGTTGGGTTCCACTATTGTTTGCCATTACTTTGAGAACGGAGATTCCCTAAATTGGAAGCCTTTTCTTTGTTTCAATAAAACTCAAAATTGTAATGCGAACGCGAAAACGTTGTCAAGCTTCCTGTGGCTGTCTCATATCATAAGAGCGAATATTACGACCAAATAAACCTGTTTTTCGGGTCGACCACTACCGTCATAACGAAGCTTGTGATTGATCGAGACAAAAACAATAATAATTAGTAATATTATGTCAGACAATGCCTATTGTTCTACTGGACATCTTCGTTTATTGTATTGCCTGTCTCTCATTGTTATTTCATCAAATCACAATCTTTGTTCTAACAGTAGTGTACACCCCAGTTTTTTCCTACAATAGAATACCCATTTTGTCGAGCCAGGTAGCACCGCTCTGAACGGGTCTCATGATAGGTTGAGAAAACAATGAACAAACAATAGATAAGTCTTCCAACAATATAACAAAAMCTAACCTAACAATAGTGGTGCTGTACTTAAGGAGCAATCAAAAAGCAGGTTTCAATTGGTACTGCATTACTGATTTTGTCAAGGGAGAGTTTTGAATCAATCCCCCCTCCCTCCCCTCCCACATTTCCCAAAGTAATAGGTGTATACCACATCACATCTATATTTTTCTAAGCATGGACACAGTCATGACCTCCAGACAGTCAACTAAAATTCATTCTTTCGTTAATAATATAGCTGGCAGGTGTTTAATGTGAAGTGAATAAATTAACGGAGTATGCACATTATCAACGCAATCAAAATACATGTGGTTTACATTTACAATTAAAATTATATTCAGTCTTTATTTTAGGAACATTATTATTTTTATTTGTTCATTTGATGATGGAATTTGCAACTTAAAGATTCGATGTCTGTAGTTATAACAAATGTTCACGCAATCTTTACTATGAAAATTTAGCGAATGAAACAGGATTAAATAAAACGTAATGCTCACAAATATCAGTTTACAGGAAAATGAGTGAGTGAGTGACATACTCGTTCGATCGCTTACGCTATCCACGAGTTAAAAGTTTACCAAATATAAATAAGGTACAATTTTTACCACTTTTATGATCAGTTCGTCGGGTGTATTTTCCAAAATCTCTTTTCGTTATTTCAAAATCCCTCTGGATTAAAACACCAAACAAAATAGTCAACGTTTAAATACTGACAGATCTGATTTCTGCAAATTCCATAATACAAATGATCAATCAAACCTAAAAATACAATTAAATATAAACAAGGCCAATATTACTGATAACGTAGTGTAAGTAAAGAAAACACTAAATGATGAGCCTGATTACGAAGTACACTGTAAACAGCGATAAGATCCGATGTTAAAAATAACCCATCTTAAAGAATTTAGCAACACGATTACCGGTCAATACAGTGATATTTGAATCTTTAAGATCAGTATCGGCAATACGAACGAGGGCCATTATACATGTCAAAAATAATGAACGAATGAAAATGCGAACTAAAAGCAGACCGATAGAGTCGAGACAATGATTACAAATAGGTCATGATTTATCATGTCAATACATAGAAATGCTTTCAATGCCAAGATAGGAAGTAAAAAAATTAAAACAGAATGTTTGTTTTGTCTTTTGCAAGTAACAATATTTATATTCCTTATAAGCATTTTTATCTATTAGAGAGTATAATCATGAAACGCAAAGGAGACTTGATGTTCTATGCATTTTTTCAATCATCGTGACCTACTTTTTTAATACACACACTTATCATTTTAGATGAATTATTTCTTGAAATTTCAACCATTGAAGACGTTCCTATGTTTTAAAATCAATAAGAAAACCACAGTGCACATAATAAAACCCAAATAACTCAATACTCGCTGCGGTATAAAGTACATTCTCGAATAACTTTCTTTCTCTATATAATTCTAACTGACTGATGTTGGAATCACGACGATCTGAACGGGATTTTCAGTCCCTGATTCAATTAAGTCAAAAGTGGTAGTTGCAGGCTGTTCATCTTTGTTTTTGTCATCTTCATCAACCAAACCTTCTTGACTAACTGACCTGCTGTTTGCTCTAGTCCTGTTACCACGTCGAAGGTACTCGTCAATCGAAACAATACACTTTTTCCTCCAAATGCTCTCCTGCTCAAATGTATCGCACTTATTGTATAACCTAAATGTACAGTACTTGACAAAAGCTAGTTTATCTGGATCCAGTGCTTTTTTCCCGCGGGTTCCTGAACAGTTTTTGTTGTGTATTTCTTCCTTGGTGAAAAGGAGCTTAACTAAATTAGTAGAAAAGTTCCCAATGGAGCAACTTTTGCTTTTGATTTTCTGTGCCCAACATAAGAGGTCCTTCATACGGTCACTATCACTGTCCGTAAAATACGGCATTTCATCTTTGTTCAGGTGGTCAGTGTCAGTGCCCACACTCTCCAGTTGGAGGTCAGCAGGGAGGGTTATTTCCTGGAAAAGTTTGCTTTGGTTTGTTTGTGCGGTGGGCTCCACATTTTGTCCATCAACCTTTAAGTCTTGCGAAGGTTGAGCGATGCCCTGATTGGTTAAAATACTATTGATACACGACAAAAGATTATTTTCTGACGGCAGAGCCGGCACTTTAAAATCTGTAAAAGAAATGTCACTTTCGCTGGTCGTTGGTGTGCCGGCAGTATGTTTAGGAGTACTTAGACTCACGTTATCAACTGGTGATGGTGATGAGATCAATGCGCGCACTGTCTGCGGTTTGCTACCTTCTGTATTGTTATATTTAATATTGGATTCCAGTAAGGCGAGAAGCCGTTCTTGATTTTTCAGCACCTTATGCTGATAAGTTAGTAGTTGGTCAACCTTTCCAAGTAGTGTTGATAAATGAGCCTTCAAGTCAGCATCAACCTCGGAGCTTTGAATCAACTTAAAGAAAAATTATTAAGTCAGACTGAACATAAATGACGGATATGGATTTAAAGCTCATTTACAGGGTATACGGTTTGATATGAAATTGCTTAAATTCTTAAATAGAGGATATTACATGGGCGCACAGAGATACGTATCTCCAAGCGACCATGTAATATTCTGTTTATCATATAATTGGATATGAACGCAAATTATGTCRTAAWATASCTTTTTTCTTACTTCCACTATATAGAGAAACCTCGAATGTGATATTTTCACTAGTGAAAATAACATGTTATTTTCACTAGTGAAGATATCAAGTTTACGAAATGGAGAAATATAGGTATTTCATAGATAATTATATGATAAATGTAGTTCATTGATGTTAATAATGTAAATACAAGATCTTTTTATAAACAAAGTCTCTTAATTTATGCCTTACATATCAATTATCTACTAAGCAAAAATGTATTTTTGAGGTAAAAATTTATGACATGGTGAGCCTAAGTAAATTTGATCTGGCTTGCCATTTAGCAAATTTGGAAGGACATGGTGCCTTTCACCATTATTATTTAGAGTTTATGACAGTTGAGCATCAAAGTTGTACATGTAAATGTGCAACCATCTGCCTTCAAGTTGTCTAACTTTGAGTGAATGGCAACAGTTTGGCACACCATGCTTTATTACATTGTTACAATTCATAGAGTTTTATCATAGCTAACTTCAGAATTAATAAGTATTTAGTTTGAATCAAGTGTAGTTAACTGGTTCAAATAATTGTAACAAAAAATCTGGTTATAAACTGCTTCACAACACCTGCCAGCTATAGGAACACTCTTTTACACCATTTTTTAACAATGTCAAGACTGTGAATACCCATACATGTGGAGCGACTGTGTTTATTTGGTGGTTTATTTGATTATGATATAAAAATATACATGTACAACTAAAACCAATATGTTTCCCATTTATAAAAAATGTCTTTGAAGTATTCCAAGTTTTGTATGTTTCAGTACTTACCCTGGAATGAGACTCCATTGTGCTATTTCCACTCAAGTCTGAGTTTTGCTGCTTGTAATTATTGGTATCTAAAACAAACAGAGGTTTTCAGCAACTGTGCAAAGTACCAAATGATCTGATACAGGTGAATAGCAACCAAGAATGACTACTTTTATGTGATGTTACCCAAATACATTTTCATCTAGTTGTTAAACCAAAAAATACAACATTTGAATGATAAGTTTCACAAGTAGATCTTTTCAATAAAACTATCTCATAACAATTACACTGTTTCTGAAAATAATACCAGGTAAATGGAAACAAATTAAAAATACACTAATGTCTTTATAATCCATACCTTTTAGACTATCAGTTTCATTGTTTCCTAATGCAGTGTCAGATTCCTGAAAATGTCGTGAACGCTTAGTGGGAGTTGATGGAGAGTATGGTGAAGCCTCTCTGTGTCTTTTTTCTGCTGATGATGGCTGTGTAGAGGACATTGAGGATGGAATTTTCTTTAAGCCCTATTGTGGGAAGGAATATTCAGCAATCTAGGCCAACCAAATACAATTTTGGTTTGAATTAAAATACTTTATATAATCAGACACTCACAATTGTTCAAAGGCACCCTTATTAATTATTATTTCTGAAACATCCTAATAGTTGCAAGCGGTGAGAATAGCTCTCTATTATTCTACTTTTATATAATATTTCAATACAACAGCTTGAAATCTCTTTTTTTATTGAACGTTTAGGAGTAGCAGTAATGAAATAGATGTATGACAAATACTACTGCACAAACATTGGGTAGTTCCAGAAAATATCCGTACCATACGATAGGTGGCATCGACTTTTGACTCCCCCTCCCCCCTCTTCAAGGGGTGTCAATAATTTTTAAAGTAAAAAGCTTTACAAGAAAAGTAAACATACGTGATCCGGTGCTTGAGCCACCTAGGGGGGTCCGGGGGCACGCCCCCGAAAAATTTTGAAATTTAAAGTACTGGAAATGCACTTTTCCTACATTTTGAGGGTAACATAATTGAGAGATTCATTGCAGTGAATTCTGGTTTACAAAGAAAATGGATAGTTAGAACAGTCCTGAAGTACGTATACAGAAGCCTGGTAGATTAGTTTGGTTTGTCTTGAAAAATTCACAAAGTGTACAGGTGTGTCAAATTTGGTTTAAATATGCAGTTTTCTTATTACACGATTGCTGAATTATTTTGATCCAAAGAGCTCATGAATCATGGAACTAACAGATTTGATGTCTACTTTGGACTTAAGTCACATGCCAAATGACGTCAAGGTTGGGATTAGAGTATCATGGGAATGAGGCTCAATGACAAAGTATCAAAGAAATATTTCTTAACCAAACAAAATAGCATATAGCATAGATATTGGGCCAAGTAAAATGTTTATCATTAATTACGCAGTATAAATCAAAAATGTATAATAATTTATGCATGCTGGTGGTTTTCGAAATAAGAATCTTGCGTCTTGGAAACGAGTCTCATCAAAATTGTAAAGTAAACTTGAATTTCAAAATCTTTAAACCAAGATAAACGATTAATAAACATGTCCCTTTAAAATGTGAAAACAAACACATTGCAGCATATAACGATCATGGAATATTGTTTAGTTTTAGAAACAACAAATTCAAACCGATTCACAACAATGTGGTTTTAAGAAAGATGCAATTTCATAGGATAGAAAACACATCTATGTAAATAATATTTCGATAGATAGCTTCATAGGTTATTCATTAACACGATGAACTATATTTAAGAAAGTTCGTACCTTAGATAGAGAATTATTTCGAGTATTTTCACCGTCTTCCGAAGAGCTGGAGTTGTACCCCGCCAATCCATGTTCTTCAGACGACATGTCCCGGATGATGCATACATTATCCAAATATGGGAGAATGAAGACAAAGTTGTTTTTTTTTTGTTTTTATATCTTTGATATATTTCAAATAAGAAAATAACACTTTGATGCAAAAAAAGTAAATGATTGTCTTCACAATTAAGAATGTAATGAGGAATTTACTTGCATGGAAGTTAAAATTGAAACTTAATCTGGAATTCTATGATGCCAAGTTGAATGTCAGAAGAAACTGTTTAAAGACTMGCTTTCAAGGTCTGAAATAAAGGAATATAGACGTTTCAATATAGTCTACTGTTGCTGTTTTCAATTTTTATTACTACCCCTCCCCTCACCTCTTGTCTCTCACCCCCTGCATGCCCTCCCCTACCCCATGCGCAAACTCTGTACCAGTCTTCCTCGGATTGGCGCGCGAAATAAACATTCAAAGCGAGCAAGAATCGTGACTTGGCTCAAAATGTTTACCAGCGCAATAAAGTGGAACGAAAATTTGTGCAACGACCACGCATTTAACTCTTGAAACAGGGTTTGATAAAGTTCTTCAACTCAATTCCATCTCAGAAGCTTTCGCTTAGTTCAACAACTGGAGAAGTGCAACTTCTATTGATCGAAAAGTCTCTAGCAAACTCGTGGCAAAAACAGAATGGGAAATACACATACCCGCAAAGCTGACGAGTCTAGTCATCGTAGACGACGGCCAAATAGCATAGCCATTGACAAACCTATCGAAACTCTGTCTTCAGAGACTACTGGAAAGCGAGAGCTACGAAGAAGTGCAAGCCAGAATTCATTTCGACGTCGATATACTGAATCAGGAAATTATTCATACAAAACACCCTGGCCTGCTCCAATGAGCGAAGTGGTTTTCTGGCCAGAGTTCGAGTCTAAGCCTCCAGTAAGATTTACAGATTTCGAGGTAAATGCATGTATATTTAGAGGCCGTGTTTTGATTTTATACTAAATCAAACAAATACTTGTTTTCGTTCGCCACACTTGGAGTGCTCGTTTATCTTTCTATCAATACCAATACCAATCTCGTTTGACAGAGATCTGTTAGCCTAAAGAGTAAAGGAACAGAAATTCTTCTTAAATCCACTTTCTCGTAGATTCGGAAATAGCGTTTTTTTTTTCTTTTTATATTCTTGACCAAATGCGCCGGTTCTAGAAGTTTAATTTATGCATTTGAATTTTTGGTGTACTTCATTTTAATTTCCCACATGATTATCATGTGTGTTTTCCTGCAAGTTGAAATTATCCCTTTTAATAACAGCTGGAATGTCTTAGAACGCAAATAGAATGTATTTGTATTTTTGCATTTGCAATTTTTTAAAAATTTCATAGAAAATCCACTCTTGTTGTCGACGCATGCAAATTAGGTATTAAATACGCTTTCGTTTTGGCAAAAATTATGAAAAGTATGCAAATTACATCATATCTCCGAGTTTTTTTTATGCTTTTCTAATAATGACTCACGGTGAAAATATTGATTATGTTGCGGCGAATGTTTCATTTCCTGCAAACAAACATCTATTGTTCAACTCATTCCAGGCTTAATGCGGCACCATGCTTGCAAAACGTAAAGCTATAAATACTGGAAAGTAGGTGTTTGTGAGACTAAATTTAATTCGAGATAATTTCATTATTCAATGCCATTGTTATTCTAACATTTTACGTTTAACAATGAATATTTATAAACAAATTACTTAGTATCGCTCTATTGAATGGGATTAAAAAGAAAGTTGTGGTTTTTACGGTATGCATCAATAATTTAAGTATTCGTTATTTTCAATGGATAATTTAATAATTATCATTTTCTGCTTACAGTACTGTCATATATCATCATCAATATAGAATTGTTGCCGTTTTCATAAGCACTGAAATAGCCCTCGACTTGTCGGCAACATGAAAGGCAATTTGCATTGAGTAATGTTTGTTGAAATTGTCCACTTTGAAGATAGTAGTGACGGCGCAAAGTTGATGTTCACCGAATTAAATTACCTTTTGAAGTCAAGGAATATGAATTAATTGGACTAAAAAAATCTTTTTATTCACCTTAGAATATTATTTTTTAGCAAAGAAAATATTAAGTATTCATTCAATATTAATGCAGTAGAAAGTTGTACTGTTATGAAATTTTGATGAAAAACAAACAATAAAAAGTTAGAGCTAGTTATTCGTTTTTTCATTATCTTGATTATCATATTACTTACGGTATCCGTACTGAAATGCTACTGTGCTAGACAGCTCAAAAAAATTATTTAGTGTATCTCAGACACTGAAATTTTATTTAATTTTATTAATTTTTGTTTTTAATTCTATAATTTCATTTTGTCTAATGGCTTTCCTTTCCATTCATTTATTTTCAGATGTTAGCTAATATTGGAAAAGGGGCATTTGGACATGTAAGCAACACCAATATCTTCATAGAATTTTTCCCATTTACAACAAATATTTATAGCAATAATATGTATATATACCCCAATATATGTCAACTCTATGCACATTTTACAGGTGCTACAAGTCAAAAAGAGAAACACTGAAGATGTATTTGCAATGAAGGTAGAGAAGTTATATGTCATCTATGTCTCCTTGAAATACTCCAAGTGTTTGGTAGAAAAAACCCTTAGGAGTTGACTGATCATCATTAGCTAGGTCCAGATGTCTTTAAAGGGAGATATGAATAGCAAAAAAGTGATATATTCAGTAGTGTTATGAATCAGGATATCAGATAAGTTAAAAAAGAAAAAAAAAAAGAATGAATGAAAGAAAAAGAATGGGATATGATTAATGGTAAACTAGAAAAACAATTAATGATATGAATATAAGCAATATCATTTCAATGATGCCTTGAGGACATGTGAAAGTTTCTTTGCCAATTAAAGATAAACCAGCCCTATATTCAACAAATAGGCTCATTCTATTAAAAAATCAACTAGCTAAATCAAATAAATAAAGTACAGAGATTCGTATCAAATGAATAATGAATGGTACGACTATAGTCTCATATTTTTGTTACAATGGAATAAGTTTATAGACAGTTTACAGGTATATGAAAATGCATAAGATTGTGTAGAAAAATAGATAGATTAATCAAGTCAACCTAACTTTCCAAGCATCAATTAGTCATTATTTTTGACACGGAATAATTTCCAGCTGAAAATTAAAACTGAATGAAAAGAAATGAATTGAACTCCTGTTTGTTTCCTTTTGATAATTACAATTATTGTATGACTTTCAGATTTTAAATAAAGCTGAAATAATCAAAGAAAATGCAATACAGCAGTGCAAAGATGAGGCTAACATACAGGTACACTAAAGAGACATTAAATTTAATTTTTCATTTTTTTCATTTCATTTTTTATACTTTTTGATAGCTTTTTTGACAAATATCAACAATGTATTTATATGCCCTTCACTATTTCAAATGTTCCCTTTTTTTCAATTCTCAGCCTTCCATTTTTTCATTTCACAGATGAAAATAAATAATTTCCCATTTCTTGTGAAGACATGGTACACCTGGCAAACGAAACATAATTTATTCATAGGTTTGTATTGTGTTACCATTTTATTCTTGATTGCATATCACATTTTGTTAGTAATAAAAAATTGCAAATCATTAATTATATAATACCAATTATAAATGTCATCTAGAACAGGTTTTGATCAGAGTGCAAAAAGAAAATCATTTTCATTGTTCAGAGAATTTGCTATGCTGAGACTGAACTATTTGTCTTGTTATTTGATAAATTGTATCCTGTCCCGATATCTCTTATATGTCATTTAAAAACAATGCCTTGATCTGTTTGATCTGTAACATTTTAAAAGATTTTAAATATAACAGTTGTGAAACAATATTATTATCTCTTTCCCTGTTTTCTATTTCTTCATATATACCTGTTGTTTCAATTTTATGAAATTTCAGTTAAAAGAAAAAAATGGGAGAAATAAAACCTTATCAGAAAATCAAACTTGGTCTATCATTATATTTTCTGAATCTTGAGTGAAGTAAACTTCCTCAAGGGTCTGTAACAGCTGTGTAATCTCTAGATTGTTGCTATCTGAAGTACAAACGTACTAATGGTCTAACACACTCATACTCTGACAACATCTAAAGCTATACTCTACTAAATAGCTATCTTACTGATGCCAAAATAGATAGCATTGCAAAAGTCAACTTTCAAGTAGTATCAAAGGTGTTTGGTTTCAGTGACTGACATTGATTAGTAGGTCTATAAAATGTAGTTGTGTTCATCAGTTTTGCCAAGGGTGTTAATTGCTGTGTTATAAAAGGAATGCTATATTTCACTAATAAACTATTAATACTATTCAACTAAAATTAGGGATTAATGCAATGACTGTTTTGTAGTGTCTGATTTTGTGGATGGAAGTGATCTCTTCACGTTATGGATTCAAGAGAGAACCCTTGATGAAAATCTTGTTCGATTGTACATATCTGAGCTTGCTTTAACACTTGGTTAGTACTTCTTCACTTCAACCCTTTATTGAAAATATTTGTTTCATCCTCTGTTCATTCATTTTTGTCATTTATTTATCCATCCATTTTCATTAACATCATTTATCCATCCATTTATCAATTCATCCTTCTTTTTATAAACACCTACTTATATTGATATATTATCCATTAATCATCCATTAATTTTAATTCATTCATTCATCCCATTTCATTTTCATCCATTCGTTCATTTAGTCATTTATTCTTTTATCCATGAGTATTGAAATCCATTTTTATCCCATTCAACCATTCATTTATTTATTCATCAGCTCTGTGTTAAACAGCAGATGAGTAGCTGTCAAACTAGTATGAAATTGTTGTTAAAAATTAATTTTGATTTTAAAAACCTTAAAAGGAAAGAAAAAAATGATGTTTTGCATGTTGATATTCGGGCAAACCCTGGTTCTAAATGTCTGCACGTTTTCTATCCATTTAGGTGGTTTTTATCTTATCCTTCCTTGTCTCTTGGTTTATTCATAAGTTATCGCGTTTCATTTCACACAGTTTTATTGATCTCACACCGAGAACTTATGTTTAGTCTCGTTCTCAAAATAAAAACGTCTATTCTCACTTATCTTAATTTCTCCCCACTTTAGACTTTCTTCATAAGTGCGGTGTTGTCTACAGGGACTTGAAGGTATGAAGTTGACATTGAAGTCGATAAGCTTTAATAATTTTATAATAATCAATAATTAATTCAAATCATTGTTTTAAACAGCTTGAAAACGTCTTACTGGATAAGCAAGGTATAATTTTCATCTTATAACGTATTGTTCAGAATACAGTCAATTCAATTCTCGTTAAAGCGAACTTATTTTCAATAGCTCTTTAGAGTGGAAATTTATTTTAGTTTCCTTAATAACGGTCGGAGTGTCCGTAATATGGAGGGTCCACATGGCGTATGTTGAATGTTAAGCCCTATCATGAAGCTATGCGCAACTAGCCCAGCATTAATGAATAGTGCAATCTTTATCCGATTCAGCGTAGTTGAATACTCTTGTCGCTAGCATTAACCGGACAACGAATGTTATTCTCTTATTAAACGCAGTCCAAATAAAACCTATTTTAGGGGAAATTATCCAGAAAAATATCCGAGTATATGGTAAATTATCCAAGGATTAAGGATGTTTTTTGCGCTCAAACATTAGATATCTATCGTAAACGCGTTTGTCAAATTCTATACGTGACACAGTCGTTTGGGTACTGGCTGCGTAAGTTTGCGCAAGTGAGCCACACCATACATCCTTGATTTTCAAGTATTTCGAGTTGATCACCGCATGGGTCTTTTTTTAGGGCATATTAAGATTATTGACTTCGGGTTATCAAAGCTGATGTCAAGAAACGAAAAAACAAATACAATTTGTGGTACCTTACAATTCATGGGTAAGTGTAGAGCGGATTTCGTATGAGTGGGACACCGTTACCGCACGGTTACCGCACAGTTACCGGACCTGGCCTGCACAATTTTGGTGAACCAATGGGGCACTAGAATTTGGTTACAGTACGGTTACGGTCACAGTACAGTACCGTCCGTTTCCCACTCATACGAAATCCGCTCTATTTCATGCGTTCATTGTATTCCTATCTCGTTCCTTATCCATTTTTTTATTTTCATGGATATAGTTCTACTCTAGCTTACATTTATTTGTATATTGAATTTCTTAGGATATTCACCGGCATAGTCATCCATTCTAATTTTCTCATTCATTCATTTATTCATTTGTTTAGCTATTGTTTAGCGTACATTTGCACCATCGACTGTACAAAGTACGAAAGTTTTAACACGTGTCTAAGACATTGTAAATTAATCAAATTTAGCTCCAGAAGTCTTGAAAGGAGAAAAGTATGATTATTCCGTGGATTGGTGGGCGTTGGGAATTGTGATGTACGTTTTACTTGTCGGAAAGGTAAATAAATTGTAAATACTATGTGATAATATGATTTGTCTGGAATATTATTTGTCGGGTTTTCTTGTAGACGAAACATCAACTTTTCTTGAAATTATTTCCTTGGTTATTTATAAATTACCCTCGACAATTGTTGTACAAATTTAAAATTTCCTTTTTGGATGGACCTGGATGGTAGTTTGGTAGTTACCTCGTGATACCACGTCCAGTTTATGACTTTGTCGGTGAAGTTCAAAGAAAACCGCGCGTTGGCTGGTGTTTGTAGTCTTTTTAAACCAAGAAAAGGCTTAATTAGTGATGGCAGAAGGTTTTGGAATTTCGTAATTAGTAGTCATTGTTAAAAGCGCTTTTTGACAACGAATTCTTCAATAATCTTTTCTGTTCAAACTCTAGTTGATAGACGTTTCCCTAAGGCTGAAAAAGTATTTATTTGCAGGTAGTTTTTAATTTCGAACATTCGGAGCTGGAAATCAGGCGTGGGCGGGAATTAGGAGGAATGGCGGAATCATTAATGTTTGCCAGTCTCTAATGATGTTAAAAATATCTTCATTCAGGGGAATTAGGAAACATCAGTAGCCACAAAAACTTTTGGTTTTTTGAATAATTAACTCAGTTGGGAATCATTGATCAATGAAAATAAAATCACCCGCCTCTGCCCCAAGAAGGAAGTAAATAAAGTACGTTGTTTTCGGCTTAATTCTAATAAGAATTTTCCTTCCAATTAAAGGCCGCGCTCTCAGAAGTTAGAACGTTTTAATTAACCTTTCGGTCTTCAGGGGAAACTGAATTAATCTATATTCTCCTTTAGCTGTAGTTACTAGCGCTCATAACTGATTTGGAGACCATTACGAGTGGTAGCTAACCAAGATACAAATGATTAGCAGTGTCTGAAAACAACGGGGTCTCAGCATTTTACACTTGTACGTGACATGCATCTCATCTTTAACTGCGCCATTGTGTATTTTTGATTAACAGTATACTGTCGCCAAAAGCAATTATAAGTGCAAATGTTTTCAACTAAAAAATTGAATTTTGAAATCATCAGTTCAAATTTACCATCCAGTCCCTTTTGCAGCTATTCTTATAAATATTTCCTTCTTTTTACGGCTGGTTTGTATCGGCTCACTGTACATACGAGGACTTTTGCGCGATTTTTTCATGCTAAAAAATCGCCATTATTTGATTTTGGTCTGGTTAAATCTAAAAATGATTTGAAAGGTTCTCATATGCAAGCGGCTCTTAAACGACAAAATTCTATGCTTGTATTAGGCAATAAAAGTCTCCATTTGTTTTGATTAGTACCCATATGTCGCTACAAAAGACCATGACTCACAATTCAAGGTGTTAGAAGAAACAGAGTTTGAGTTTCCTGATTCTTTGTCGACCGCGTCTGTTAGTCTAATGAACCAGGTAAGGAATACTATAAGCGCCTTTCTCGTTCAGTTTGCTATTGTTTAAAGGTCTTCAAGAAGTGCGCATGCTCAAGTCAAATTGAAATCTAGAATTTGTACAACCTCGTCCCAAAGCTTTTTCGGCTCGCTCTTTTTTCAAAATGGCGTTGCACGAGCGTCCGCCATTTTGCGAGTAGAGAAGGTCCTGGGGACATACAGCGACTCTCTCGCGTCGTAGGACCGACCCGCACTTTCAAGGAACGCCTGTGGACTAGGCTGATCCAGACCCAATCACTGGTCCCATCAGTCAATATTTTTTGCGTGAATCAAAAGTATCTGAAACACTGTTACTACGTCAGACTTCCCTTGTAACTTGTATTATGTGTATTAATCAAAATACAAATTAATTTTAAATTGTAAAATTATTTCAGCTTTTACAAAAGGATCCGAAAGAGCGGTTAAGGTCGTTGGACGCTCTGAAGCGTCATCCGTTTTTTAAGGACTTTGTATTTGATGACGCACTAGACAAAAAGGTAAGAAATACATCAGGCTCCCCCTTCCTCCCCAACCCTTCCCTTCATCCATCCCCGCTAAACCTGGTACTCAGGCTAGAGGCGTATCGACTCTTATGATTCATTTGATAAATGCATTAACTTATTTCCTATCTTTTTTATGCGTAAAGCAAGTACCACTAGATGAGTCAACCTTTAAAAAATTACGACGTCGAAGTGCCGCAGGACGAACGTGAGTAATATCATATTAATGGCTGACGTCCATCCGAGAACCCGTCTGCGATCGCTTGCTGTTGTTTTGCCAATAATCTGTCAGTGTTGAACGTTTTTGCCTAATTGGTCCAAAATTAAAGATAGCGCCGGGTTTTCCGCATATTGCGCAAAGGTTCTCGTCCGATTCCGTTGGCCTTTTATCTCGTAGTTTGGGTTTACTTTCTGTAAAACGAGCTCATGCTTTTGCAGTAAATCGCATTGACGAAGATAGGATGTATTCAATAGTAACCTTTCCATAACAAGGCTCTTATAAATTATTTAGTTGCACGTGCGCTATATACAGTGTCTTTACATTGCTCACAGAGATAGCTATGATTTTATCATTTGTTTATTTTGAATTTATAGTTATTTTCCTCGTCAAGTTGAGCCACGAAAAGCTGACAGAAAAGTAAGTACAATCCAGTGTTGTTTACTAGATCGTACGTGCTGCTCCTAGATTATTAATTCATGTCTCTGCAGGTTGTTTTGTGTGCAAATCGCACTAGGGTTGCGTGCTTTAAGAGCGCCAATCTCACGATCAATGGCTGTTTTGTTTTCTAGGCACGTGCGCTATCTTGGGCAAGTCCTGGTAACTTTACAATACACGATAAAGTTGAGTTGGATTATTTGGTGTCAGACCTTGGTAGTTTTGCTAAAATAGATACAGTTGCTAATGCAAACACAGCCACAAAAACATCACTGACTACAGTTGGAGAATTATGTACCGCAGCCTCTTAGTATAGGGATTCTCCTGTGGTGGAACCCAAAATTCAGGAGCATGAGGAGCCCTTAAGAGTTCCTTTAGGGAACTACCTGGCGTTTTGGACACGAACGCTTCTTTCGCTTAATAAAGAAAAAAGCGAGGCTTAGTCTCTAGGCATTCTCACAAGCCTCGGTTACATTCGGATTCCATTGGTTATGCAATATATTGAAATATTCTCAATATCTTCTGATGACATGAGAGTTTCAAAATACTCAACGGAAATACTGCGAAGTAAGCACTATATAGTCTGTTAATCTTGATGTATTTTTAGTAGTAAATTCTTCTTCAACATATTAATATAATTTTCATAAATATTTCAAGATGTAACATTCGGTTATAAACCTAGGGTAAAACAATAAGATTCTTTTATTTATTAAGACAGTTTGAATTTTATTACCAGAAATGCATTTCGGTACGGGAATAAACTTACGTCAGTGCCTTCATGTAGTGGAGGGCTGCGAAGCGTAATTTCCGAATGGAACCATTTCAATTCTTGTCTTTAACCAGTGGGTTGTCTAGTTTTAATTATAAGAACGTTAGCTTATGGTTAATGCATGTGTAAATATTTGCTGTTTAAGTTAAATTAAGTACTTCAAAACGTATGTTTTTAAAGATATATGGATATTTTATTTATAGCAGTTATTGCCAAACCAGAACTTTTACAAACAAATTTGTTATCGTTTTAGTTTATATTACAATGGTGTATCTTGTGTATTGGTTATTTTTAGGCTCCATTCTGAGAACTCAATTGCTTTTCTGTTGAAAACAAAAAACAAAACAAAAAAAAAAAGGTTGAGAAGGAACCAGGACAAATCTATTCAATATCATCGGCAGAATATTAGATGTTTTTAGTTGTTGTTTCTGAAAATAATTTTATTCACTAATTCTAACGCCCGCCGTTAGAATGAGAACGTTCGTTAGCCGCCATGATGGTTTTTGTATTATGCAAATTAGCCATATGGTGACTACGTAAATAAACCATGTTTATAATTTACACATCAATCTATCAGGAAATGTAGATTTACTATAAAATATAGATGCTTATTATAATGATCAGATAAATAATGATTAAATAATTAAGAAAAAAAGAAAATCATATGTTTATGGGATGAAATATTAAATCAAATAAAATGAAAGTTTTGTCAATTCACTCCAAGTGGATGTGTTTTGTTATAGTACTTAAATTAAGATCTCAGACTGAGATTTGCCTCGATTGCCCTCGCCGCATGTGCTTGACTTCCATTGTTTTTACATTATTTTAGTTTTGGCTTTAAATGCTTGCAGCGACTATAAGCTGCAGGGCTAAATGTGATCCGTAACGCTGAAGATATCGGAAGGGATGAAGTACCGTCTAATCACAAAATTTCAATTATGTTTTTTGCTGTACCACACTGTCCAAGAATGGTATATATAAAGAGCAGGTTAGGTAAAATGTCGGCAAAGTCTTTCAAGTCTCAACATGCACTAAATACTTCAAAAACGGCAGTAAGTGTAAAATCCAGGTCTATTTTTCAATATGTTTCTTATGAAAACACTCTATATATTTGGCACTATTTTTTATTTAGTTTAAAAAATTCTATGTGATTCTGCATCTATTCTGCATACTTTTTCCAGTTTTACACTTAAAGGGACACTGTCAATGGATGACATGCGCAGTAACAGTCTCACCTCTAACGGACTTTGAAAGTATAACCTTCGAGGTAAATCATTTTGTGGTGCTTTTGACACACTTTGGAATATTGTAGATCTGTTTACGTTTACGATCTGATTTATGTCGCGGCAACTTGGAGTCACATAAACTTGAAAACACTAGCCTAGTGTTTTCAAGTTTACTCGCGCATGTCATCCATTGACAGTGTCCCTTTAAGGTAGGTATGATCATGTCACCCGCAAAAAGGCCTTGAGCATCCAATAGTCCCAGTATCAGACAGTAACATGCAAGTTCATGCCAGGCACGATACAGCAGGTTCAGTCATATGATTTTCTGATGACCACTAGTGTACATATGGTCAAACAGCTGGGTTGGGTTATGGCCTGTACGGCTCTTAACCCCCTGATGTTAATCARGTTTATCATATCAGTCTTAGCTAGTCTTAAACCGATGTACCTCTTGACCTTTTGACAACCATGCAGTGCGTTGTRTATTGTACTTTAATTATCAAGAACCGTTACGTGTCCCTCTCTTCCTCCCCCCCCCCCCCCCCTCCCCACACCCCTAAAAAAATCGACTTTTTTCAAACAAACAAGTTTCATGGACATTTCAGTTCCCATAAAAGGCAAAACTAAGGTGAAACACCGTCTAAGTTTGGTGTGGTACTATTACGATTGTTTGCGGAACATTGCCGTCGGTTCAAAATCGATCAGGAAGGACAAGAAACATTTCCAGGGGGTCAAGTCAGTTTCGCAGGGTGTGTTATGTGGCTTCGCTATGAAATACAGTAATTTAWRAGAATTGCGGAGTTAACACAATAYWACAGCGACAGTAAAAAGTGGTTTTAGACCAATATAGCTATGCACGTAATCTGGGRTGAATTTGACGTCATTTGGTGCRAAACCCMATATAGTGTAAACCTCCTTTTYATCAGTAACACAACATCATTGAAAATGTATTTTCGCGCCGTTATAAATACTCGCACTCGGAATAATGCCTAAGTATCTCTCGTTATCCTCTTTTTTTCTTCATTTTTTTCTGGACGCCTTTCATATGCTTTTTTTATTCTTTCTTTCAAAATCGCTCAGGATGCAAGGAACTTGTATAACCTTGAAGTGGGTCAAGGGGAAAACGGGTGTTCCGTAGAACGGTGTCGTTTTAAGAATTTGTGGAGTTAACATCAACAGCGACAATAAAAAGTGGTTTTAGACCAATATAGCTATGCACGTAATTTGGGGTAAATTTGACGTCATCTGGTGCGAAAACCTTAGACATTGTGTGAACCTCCTTTATGTCATAACACCATTAGCTAACATTGAAAATACACGCCGTTACATGGTATACTCACACGCGGGATGATGCATCAAGTTTCTTAAAAAATATCAAATTTTCAAGAATCTCTCCTTCAATATTTTTCTGTATTTTTTCTTAATCACTGGACTCCCTTCATATGCTTGTTTATCCTTTCTTTTTCTTTTTCTTAAAAATACACCATGTACTCCGCCTTTATTGTTTTTGTCAAGTCGTGAGGGGGCATTTTTAACATTTTTATTGGCCAAACTGCAGAGATTCCTTGTCAGTTTCTATCAGTATTTCTTTACATTAACACTTCCTTAATTTCTTAATTTGATTTTTTTTACTTAGAGGAAAAGTCCTTGAAATTTTTCTCATATCTTTTTGGTAGTTTTGTTGTTTTGATATTTCTTTTATAGCTAAATTTTTTGTTTTTATGGAAGCCCATCGGCTATTAGGCAGGTGCAAATAAGACGGGACAATGAGCAGGATATGAGTGGTTCATTTCCTTTGTCATTGAATTCCTGTTTTAAAGATTTTTACCGAGAAGCTATAAAGAATTCACTGTAGAATTTTAATTTTCGTGTTTTTCGCGTTTTTCTGTTTGGGTCTTCATCGTCCCACTGATGGAAGGTTTGCCGTATCCATGGTGACGTCAAGGCACAATGCGCGTGTTTGTCTCAAACTCGCCAAAGATGCTTGTCTTTAGTATTTGCTTTGTTCTTAAGAACGATCTAATTGCTTTCTAAACGTAGAACAACCTTTTGTTTAAAATGACAGGATACGTAGCTTGAATACAATTTACTATGATTTGTAATACCATCCAATGAAGACGAGATCTCCCGTGGGAACCATCCACCAGTCAGCTAAGACCTTGTTGTTTGGAAAATTCAACTTGGCACTTCGTTTTGAAGCTGTTAACAGTTAAACCAAACTTATTGAACAATTCATGCTTCGCGAACATGTCTTTGTTATGTCGTCTTGAAGGTTAACTCTCACGAACATCGTGTGGATCATCAACTGAATTCCATCACTTCGCGTTGCCAACTTGTTCAGGGACAAGGGAACAAGATACTCTTAAAGATTACAAACTACACCCTGCGCTGGTGACAGATCAATCTACGAAACTTTCCTGCAAGATCATTCAGGCAGTAAAATTTAATCAGGGTCAAACAAATAGATTCAACAAAMGTCCAATATCCCAAACAAGACATAAATTRCAAAGTTTACAACAGTAGACAAACAAACATGGGGTTGTCATATCACCTTTCTGTTGAATTTATTTTGATTTGATCTTCTTGTTGTACCGTTAAAACAAGACCGTATAAAACAGAAAACTTGATGAAATCGGAAATGATATGCTTGTAAGCATTTGCTATGGGCATTTTATAAAGATTAATGGCAGAACAAATTACGGAACCCGTCGAAGTTGAGGTTCMTGAAACATTCAAGGATGAAACTGTCTTGGAAGATCGCGAAGATACTCCTAAAAAAAAATCAGAAGAACTCGATGATTCCGACTCCCGTAGTGACACCCCGCCACTTGAAAGGTAAACTGTTATGTCATTTGTATAATAAGATAAAAAGTAGTAGGGAAATTAGGTTTATTTGTAATAAGATAAATTGTTTGCGTGAGTGCAGGTAGGATGTTATCTACTCATCTTCAAGGCTCTAGACTCGATGCTTTCAACAACTTGACTGATCGTGTAAAATTTTTCACGCAAATTCATCGTCCCCCATTTGAATTCTTCATTTTATTTACTAGTAAGCTTAAGTAAAGAAAAACAGTGTATTCATTTTTTAAATCAGATTAGTTATTTTTAAAATTATTTTTTGTTATGATATTTGCGTAAATCACTTAGATACGTTTTGTTATCTTTGAAGCATTTATTCCAATTATTCCAATGATTTGTCGAGGGAATTTTTTTTTAATCGTATTAGGTTTTCTTTCAATAAGTATTTTTATACGATAAAATCACAAACTCTGAAATTTTAAATAACAAAATAATTGAATAATGAAAACAAAAACAATTTATATGTTGTGTACAAACATTTGTTCAATCCCAAATTAAACATTTTGTATCGCAACAAGAGACTAAAATTCCTGTAAAACTGGTCGCCGATTTGTTTTTAGTTTGTTTATCTCATGTTCCAATTTTTCATTTTCTGCATTTTCATAATATACACCTACTTGCAGAAACGTTGTCACAGAAAATAGGACATTTGTATTTAGTAAAAAGGAATAAATTAAAAAGACAAAAGAAGATCACTGAGGCTGAACGCTTTCTTTTGTCTTGTTTTGATTAATTCATTTTTACTAAATTCAAATGTTCTATTTTCTATGACAACGTTTCTGTAAGTAGGTGTATATTCATTAAACACTTTTAATTCTAAAGCCAGGAAGTATGTCAGACCTTCTTCTTCATTATTGTTCAATTAATCCTGCACTTAAAAGCTCCTTAAAATTGTCAAATAATTGATGTAAAAGTAGAAAACATGCACTTATGTGTATTTCATTTTATTTTTTTCATTTTTTTGTATGTGAAAAAATAATGGACCTCCCTTTTGATTAAAAAACCCTACAACATAAAATATGCTTTTTATGGGGATCATTAGAGTGTTAGAATACTAATTAGTGAATGTTTAACCCACACAGCTCTCAGCATTAATTAACAAATATTTTTCGGGGGTATTTCATATGCAGTGGTAATGWTGATCCCAAACTGTCGACACCGGCATCATTTCATTCCGGAATGTCTTCAAGGTCGACAACGGAAAGTGACCTGGAAACAGCGTCGGACAACATCAAAGTTGTTGTTAGGTACAGTGTGGTTCATGTTTTTATTTTCTTTCATTTCAACATACAACTTTATTGACTTATTTATTTGAAACTGTCGTCTTTCCCTAGGGTTCGACCACTTAATGCTTCTGAATTGACAAGAAATGACAAGAATATCATTGAGTTCCCAGGAGATGGGGCGCTATGGGTAACTTGACAAAAAAATTGAAAAATAAAACAACATAAAACACCATGCTCWAAAAAAGAATATTATTTTTATTGGTCTTTTTAGATTGATAACTTYGGGCAAATCAAACCTTTCACCTTCAACGCTGTTTTTGAGGAAAAAACAAGTCAAGCTGAAATGTTTGAAAACTGTGGTATAAAACATCTTATTAATATGGCTCTAGAAGGGTAAGATAAAATTCAATAATGCTTTAATTTAGAGATATCATTTGATTGCCRTCAAATTTATTAGTGTGAGTCAATATCATTATCTAAGAATGCTGAATTTACATTTCTATATATCCAATAATTTTTTTTAAATACAGCAGAAAAAAWTTTTAACAGCAGAAAACACATGTAATACAAAAGTGTATTTTGTTAATGCATGGACACCCTTTTCACTTTGTTGTGTTATTTCTAACTAACATTTTTGATAAAATAAACTGAGTGGTAAGCTGTCAAACCTCACCTTGTTCACCAGTCTCACTATATTATCAACAATTGATCAGTTAGCATAATTAAAATCCACAATAAATATTGATATATTAATTTGCATAGTTTTACTCACTTCTGGTAGGACTCTTGTGTGGGTTTTATAAGAAAATTTAGAGAGTGTAATATTACAGCAAGTACACTTTCAAGAGATCTCTATCTTTTGCCTGGATGATGATAAGTGTAATGTTGAAAGAGTACAGTCAAACAATTTTAGGAGCAAAATTAGAAGTTCTTTTTATGTCTTTTTTAATGTTTTTGTATTTTTTGCTTGTTTGTTTGTGAATCACATTGCCATTATCCAAACAGATTGTGAACACAGGGATCCACACAATTTGTTTTACCAGTAATTGTTTTATTAATTCCAACTAATATCAGAATGTGAACTCATTACAATTACTTCAACTCATAGACTATTTCATATTTTGTATTTAYAGATACTCTTGTACTGCATTTGCTTTTGGTCAAACTGGATCAGGAAAAACACATACAATAACTGGACCTATGAACTCTGTAAGTTACTTGYGTAAAGAATGGTTTCATAACATTAAAATAGTCTCCTTCATGTTTTTGTGGGCTATCTTTGAAAGTTAATTGTGACTTAGCATCAAAGTGAGTCAACTTTTGGGCCTGCAATCCTTTTATACCTAATAGATGGACAATTACTAAAAGGGTTTTATCAAAATACATGCTCAATGGCCATCTCACTTGGATGCAAAGGCACRGCTACCTTTCAAGATGGTGCTGGAAATCGTGAAGGAAACTATTTCTAGTACTAAGAAATACATTATTTTAATCTTCTGCTCCTATTTTAGGAGAACCTCCACTATGAAGACAAGATGTTACCAAGTCCAGAGATGCTGGGACTGATAGAAAGGTCAGTAGGGGATTATTTTATTMGATATATGTTATGTAGGTCAAAAAGGCAGTTAATAATCTTGTTAGTTGTTGTAAGTTGTTTTCCCAGTGAGCTCAAGGTATTATTTTACGATATAAGAATGAATTAATGATGATTTATCCTATAGCTAATGTAAATTATTGTCTTGTCTTTGTCCAATAGACTTCTGAAGTTTTCACGCCACCTACTTGATTTGCAATGCATTATGGGAACAGTTTCTTGAAAAGACAAAAGAAATCTGTCATGTTTCCCA